ACTACTACTACTACTACTGCCAACGAGCAATCGATGTTTTAACAATCGAAAAGTCTCGGGAGATTCCAAGGACGCAAATCCAAGGACCGAGCAACATTGTGTGCAGCAAATGGTTGCTCCCCCAGTGGCATCTTGCCACATGCGATTTCCCCGCACCACGGCACTGTCGTGTTGCAGTAACGAATCATGGTTATTGGACATTGATGACGACGACGACGACGACTCGCCATAACCACTCACGGCCAAGACGCATACCGTCGTTCCAAGATCGGTGGCATGAAAACAAAGGGCATTGGCATCTTGGGCCGACGTTAATGGTTGGACGTCGGCGGACGACGAAAAATCAACGACAGGTTGGCCACTGAAACAACTCAAATAATCGGCAATTTCTTCCCAATTCCCCTTTGGTAAAAAGTATGTTCGTTCAATGGGTCTGTTGGGTAGTAACACTTGATAACATTGTCGACACTTGATGCGATTAATGATATCAACGGGTGCCAAAGTGTCCAATGGCGACACCAACTCTGGATCCGTCATGGACTCTTGAAACGGCAAACGCAACTGGATCGTCTCATCTTGTGGATACACATTCCAAGAACATTGATCGGGAATCAAACTTCTTGGCAAGTGAATGGAAAACTCAATGGCATCATTCTCATCAATCGAGGAAAATTTGACTTGGGAGGATGATCCTTTCGAGGTTGGCTGCTGTTTCACCTCCATTTGGAAGGCATCTTGGTTCAATGCTTGGCCTCCTCCTTTGTGACGCAAACTGACTTGAAATTGATGAATATTTTTCATCTCCTCCAAGCAGAACGATGCATTGTTTATTCTGATAGACTGTGATTGTGATTCTTTACCTGTATTCGTGGGAGATGGATTTTTCTCTGCTAGGTTGTCTGCTGTGGACTCCTTTTCAATTTCATCAGTTTTTGGAAACCTAATGGTCGTTTTATTCAGCAAATCTTGTTTCACTTGCTTCTCCACTAAGTCAGACGCTTGATCTTGTCGTTGCTTGGCTTCCGGTACGGATATTCCTTGCGTCATGGAATAGAGTTCGTGCAAGGCTTTGGTTGCCCGCTCTTGCTTGTCGGTGGACACATTGAAACATGTTTTGCGATGTCCGGATTTCCAGTCCCCTTTTTGGCATTCGATGGAGCAATAATGCGCAATTTTACATCTCGAGCAGCGAAAGACTTTTCCTTGTTTGCCACAAACTTGGCATTGGTCTAGAATGTTCGTCATGGAAACATACTCCAAGAGGTATTTAATGTATACTGGGGCAATTTGAAATTGTTGGTTGTGGTGGTTGCGTGGTTTTCGCATTTGATCGGAGGAGTCGTTTTTTACGACTTCTCCGACTAGTAAAACTAAAAGACAACACCTTGCACCCTAATGCAGACAGCCGACAACAGGACATCGACCACTCTATCGAGGCAGTAGGTCTCAAAGCATAAAATATACATTGAAAACTATGCTACGGATACGCGGTACAGCAAGTTCAAACCGGCCGACAGCATCTACGAGCAATGGTACTGATTCATCCTATCGATCGTCCAAGGGAACGAGACAGATGTTCGTCTTCAAGCGGTTCAAGAGACTCTTGAAAGACCTGATGTTGGTAGTCTCGCTTGGTGGCATCGTTGGGGTCTACTTTGTGCCTCCCTCCAGAAATTTAATGGATGATTCTCCAGCACCACCACCAGGTGCATCCGTTTTATTTCGATCTCCGAAATCATCCACCAAACCATTTGATGCAATGATTCAACGATCCCAGCAATACGAGGCCAAATGCAAATCACTGGACTTGCTAGATCATTCCGTAGTGGACACTTCCAAGAACAACCACACAGCACATCTCCCACCCTTTGGATTTCTAAAAGCAGCCGAAGATTACCAAAGCAATCCTCCAGACTATCCTTATACTTGCCAACTGCCACCCGAAAACGAATGTTCCGAAACTCAATTCACAGTCATTTTCATGGCCTACAATCCAGATCGACTACAGAAATTGTACAATCAAATTCTCAAAATGCTCCAGCAAGACAAAGGATTCAAGAGTCTAGTCCGTGAAGTTGTCGTGGTGTGGAATGGCGAACGGGATGTCGAAGAAACCACACTTGGCAAGGCACTGGTAGACTTGACAAAGACCTTGCCATTTCGAATCTCGTATCCACTCAAGGCTGGTTTCCCAAACGACTTGATGAATCGGTACCATCCTCGACTTGAAATTAAAACAAAGGCAATCATGTATTACGATGATGACGGGCCATTTTACAGTTACAAGGCGACACTGGGTGGATTTGAATTGTGGAAGCGGAATGCCAATGCCCAAATAGGTGCCATGGCCCGCAAGTTGGATCTGGACGAACGACAAAAAGTGGAAAAAACGGAACTGCTACAAGCAAGTGGGTCTACCACTGTCGATCGCTTTTTCATCTCACATTGTCCGACCGACGAACTCAATTACAATTATTTTGAATTTGCCAATTTTGGGGCCAACATGGTCTTGCCGAGTGGGAGTTTCTTGCATTCCAATTATCTATGCTTCTTGTGGCATCCCATCTTTGAAGAAATTAGACAGTACGTCAAGGAACACCCCGTGAAACCAGATGATGGGACGGTGAGTGCGATTGTCAGTCATCTTTCCGGACGAGCGCCCAAGGTTTACTCGAGACGAATCAATGAATCCAAAGACCCGCCTCATGGTCGTCGATTGATGAAGCTCCACGACAAGCAAGATGCCATTGATTGGGATAATCCCGGCAATCACGATACCAAAATGATGTGGGGTCGTTTGCGTAGCGATGTCGCCAATTCCTTGATTCGGTATTTTGGAAGCATCAACAGCGGTAGTTTGGGATGGTGTTTCAATACGCCATGGCAGAAGGGACAAAATTGCAAACCAGAAATGGCCAAGATTGGATATTTGCCGTGGATGAATGAAGATCATACTCCCAAGAGCACATGTCCATAGATAAGAAGCGGAATGAAGTGATATTGGCTGTGGATTTCCAGCAATAGCAATATTATTCAACAAAGAGACCCAAGGACAAGAGAGACTAGGAGAATGGGATCCCTTTGGCAAGCACAACATGACGTTATCAAATATATCCGACAGACTATCAGCATAAAAGAGAGTCTGAAGCTTTTCCACGGCAGCAACCTCAAGCTGGTGGTGATCGTTCCCAACGGCATTCAGAGTCAGTTGCAGATTCATGACTCAATCCACCACATTGTTGTCGTAGCCGACAGTATCCCCGCCTCCACAAATACAACATTCAGTGTTGGCCGACTTGGTAGCTAGTACAATAATCAAGACAGAGCAATAAAACGTTAGCTTCATCGATAAAAGCATCTCTTGCAAACAAAGGTGTACTTACGATCATCCACTTGTCGATCGAAACATTAGGTACGACACAAATCTCCTGGCATTGAAAACATGTAATTATTGAAGAAGTTACAGTTGTAAATAATACCAGGGCCATCGCGTGGAACAGCAAAGATCGCATCGTCGTACTGTAGTTATCTGTTGTACACTAGATACCTCCGGCTGAGTTCCTGTCTGGTTTCTCACTTGCAGCATTCATATTGGGCAGCATTCATATTGGCTTCAGTTGGAAAGTGTTGCTCCCTTTGGCAATAGTAATGTTTTGCTGATCTACCACGACCCAAACCAAAGAAATCAACTTCGTCTTACGGTGAGAAATGAAGGAATACTGCTGGGAAGCATCTATTGTACGCTGTTCAACACCTGCCATAGCTGCCAAGTCATAGAAAATGGAAGAAATAAGATTTTAACAAGAAAACTCAACGAGATGAAGCGGAGAAAGTCGTCTTGCGAAATGGAATGCTCGCAATGGGGAAAGGCCGCCAGCCAAACCACAAGAAAGGTTGTCTCTTACTACCGTGTATGTGGTTGATAACACACGGGAAGAATCAAATTACAACATTTGAAGCAAGATCACAATGCGATTTGATAGATAGTGCCATTCCAACGACGCCAATACTCAATCAATTCAGGTCACCAGCTGTCCCCATTGTAACCATTGATGCCATTCCAACTAAAAATACTGACTGCATTCAACCACCCGGTACTATTGCACCAGCTTGCTTCATTCGTTGCACACTAGAATACTGCAAGCGCGAACAATTCCTCCTATAATGACAGTACTGTTACTGGCATGATATGATGTTTCCCATATATCCGCTACCAGCCAATCCAGTGCAGCTCCATTCTTCTGATCAAAGAGCGCAAATCTTGCCAACATCCCGCCTTGTTCGGTGTGTTTAGAAGTTTATCATGGCGATTAAATGAACCTCAATTGTTTTGTAGGTTCGAGGTGGTTTCGTCATCATTGCTGTTGGTCCAGGAGTTCAATCCGGTGTTGGAGGTGTAATATGGAATTGCAATCATGCAAAAGAAGTGATAGCATTGATATTTTTAAAATTGTCGTCCGCAATATTCATTTGTTGAAATTGTTTTTTTTATATATTTCCGTTTTCACATTGTGAAACTAGTGGGTCTCTAGCTCAGGGGCAGAGCGACTGCTTCGCAATTGGTTGTGATACGGATATGCAGTAGGTCACGGGTTCGATTCCCGTGAGATCCACTTTTTCCCAAATTCCACGATCTCGAAGCGGCGTTCGAAGGTAATAGAATTTCTCCTCTATTTTTTATTACACCGGTAGAGGCCATTTTATTTACAGCGAATCCAAACCCGATCTTTTGTTTCAGCTTCTTTATTACCGCATGTGAATTGTGAATTGTGTCACATGGTCACATTGTCACAATTTTAAATGTCAAACATACAATAATGAGTGTCATAAGCCAACAATACAAGCAAAAGTCAAACTGCCTCGGCATTCGACTTGAAACACCACAAGAATCAAGAAATTCCCTGCTTACCAAGGAAGATGAGCAGAAGACAAAGGAGAACGACGCAATGCTGGTTGAGGCACTGAATGGACTTACATTTGAAGAACGGCAAGAACAGCAAGAAATTGTTCATGGTGTGGATGAAATGACTGCAGACGAGTCAACCTTTATTGAGAGTACGCTGAAAGATCTAGATAATATCCTATTGCGAACGAAACACGGCACCTTGTATGAAACAGCGGAATCACTTAATCCTGAATACGTTGGTGCAAGAGCTTTCCGAATCATGTTTCTCCGTGGAAACCGATATGACGCAAAGGCATCGGCAAAACAGATGCTTACTTTCTTTGAGTGGAAGGAGCAGCTCTTCGGAAGAGAAAAATTGGTGAAAGACATCACAATGGACGATCTAGACGAAGATGATCGAGCATGTATGAGAGCCGGCTATGTTCAAATACCAGGAAAAGACAGGTCCAATAGAACAATTCTATTGCACCTTCCGGGTTTGAGATCTTTCAAAACATTGATGAATGAGCTACGGTCGCGATATTACATTTGGATGACGATTCTCAAATCGGAGGAATGCCAACTGCGGGGAGCAGTTGTTCTCGTGTACGCTGTGGGCTGTCTCAAAGACCAGAAAGAAGGCGTTGGATATATGGAGAATGCTCGCTTGTTTTTAGCACTTCCTCTTCATCAAGCAGCTATTCACGTATTCACTGATAATTCAGCCGAGTACATTATGGGAAATGGGATCATTAGAATGTTTTCAAGTAAAATCCGTGCGCGCTTCAGAATACACTACGGCAGTCATATGGAGTGCCAATACCTGTTGCCCTCGTACGGCATTTCACCAAAACTACTTCCACTGAAAACAATCACACTTCAGGTGAATATGCACCAACACCATCGGTGGTGCGAATCATGTCTTCTTAATGACACGAGCGATTGTCCCGACCTGGGCACATCCCAAACAACAATGACCAAGTACAATGACGATGATGTCCTATATGTTGCTGGCAAAAAGAGCAACAATGCTGGCAACGAACGTCTTCGTGTACTCGTCGCGGATTTGTCGCAAAAATATGATACTGGGACAACAGAGAAGAAAAGAACTATAGTAGAAGGCATGATTGGGGAAATCCACAAAACTGGAGGCCGCTTCTTGAAACAAAATCCAGGATCGGACTCTGACTGGATCGAAATACCAGTCGATGAGGCTCGTTTGAAGATCACCCAGATGTTCCGAAATCATCGGCGGAGGGTAGGTGCTTTGATCCAGGGCGGCTGTCTTATAGCAGGTGAACCGCTCCCGAACGATGTGGTGTTTGGAAAGACGCACAGGAGTCGAGGAAGTGATTTGATGCATTATCTCATCAAAGCGCGATCCGACGAGTACAATTCTTTGGACCGTGGCATGAAAGTGCAAGTTGTGGATGCCGTTCTCGAGAGGATAAAGGGCGAGGGCGGTCGGTTTCTCCAAACAGCACCCGAACATGGCGGCTGGTTGGAAGTCACGACCGAAATGGCTCGGATAAGAGTATCGAAGTACTTTCGAAACAACCGACGAAAGGCAAAGAAGAATGGGTGATAGATATATTCTAGAGCTTTGCCTGTAGCTGACTAAAAACAAACGGGAATCATGAATGGCACCAAGTAGGTACTGTAAAGGATAAGGGCGAGGGCAGTCGGTTTCTCCAAACAGCACCCGAACACGGCGTCTGGTTGGAAGTCACGAACGAAATGGCTCGGATAGGAGTATCGAAGTTCTTTCGAAATAACCTACGACAGGCAAAGAAAAATGGGTGATGTATGTGTTATAGAATACTACTGTAGTTGAGACGAATCAATCATAAATTTGACACCGAATAGGACTGCAAGCTTGTTTGAATGAGAATTTGTTAGTTTCAAATCCAGCTTCTTCTTGAAGGCGCAGATCGAATGCAATGGCCAATCGGCGAAAATGAGTTGACTTGCATTTCACCTCCTCGCAAGACTGATTACATTTGTATATTCGATAGCGAGAGTAGTCCAGTAGGTACTCCGGTACCCATGCGAATTACTCTACAGTGGTGCATACTACAGAGCGCTTCTGACAGTTTTTGATCACACACCGGTAGGCCATTACTCAGCAGTCCAGCTAGTCCAATGCGGATTATTTTTGACACGATCGATATGTCAAACGCGCTCCCGAAGTTTGCAAACGCTATGATCTGCGTAGTCGAGGTAGTCCAAAAGCCAAAACAGTAATTATTTTTTTGCGACACACATGATCCAAACCAAAAAATACAGTACTATCATGAGCATCTTGAGCCAACCATGCAAGCAACGGTCGAACTGCCTCGGCATTGGACTTGCAACACCACAAGAATCAAGAAATTACCTCACCAAGGACGATGAGCACAAGACAAGGGAGATCGACGCAATGCTGGTTGAGGCACTGAATGGACTCACATTTGAAGAACGGCAAGAACAGCAAGAAATTGTTCATGGTGTGGATGAAATGACTGCAGACGAGTCAACCTTTATTGAGAGTACGCTGAAAGATCTAGATAATATCCTATTGCGAACGAAACACGGCACCTTGTATGAAACAGCGGAATCACTTAATCCTGAATACGTTGGTGCAAGAGCTTTCCGAATCATGTTTCTCCGTGGAAACCGATATGACGCAAAGGCATCGGCAAAACAGATGCTTAATTTCTTTGAGTGGAAGGAGCAGCTCTTCGGAAGAGAAAAATTGGTGAAAGACATCACAATGGAAGACCTAGACGAAGACGATCGGGCATGTATGAGAACCGGGTCTATTCAAATACCAGGAAAAGACAGGTCCAACAGAACAATAATATTCCACCTTCCGGGTTTGAGACAATTTAAAACTTTGATGAATGAGTTACGGGCGCGGTATTATATTTGGATGACGGCATTGAAATCGGAAGAATGCCAGCTTCGGGGGGCAATTGCTGTCCTATACGGTGTGGGCGATTTCAAAGACAAAAAGGAAGGCGGCGGCTACGTAGAGCATACTCGCTTGGTCTTAGCCCTTCCTCTTCATCAAGCAGCGTTTCACGTATTCACTGATAGCTCAGCCGAGTACATTTTGGGAAATGGGGTCATTAGAATGTTGCCAAGAAAAGTTCGTGCCCGCTACATAATACACTTTGGCAGCCACATGGAGAGCCAATACCTCTTCCCCACGTACGGCATACCGTTAAGCATACTTCCATTGAAACCGATGACATTTGAGGCGAATTTGGAGCCCCACCACAAGTGGTACCAATCATGCCTTAGTAACGACAAGATCGATTTCACCGACCTTGTACAGTCCAACAGAACAAGAACCGAGTATAATGACAATGATGTCCTCTATGTTGCTGGCAAGAAGAGCAACAATGCTGGCAACCATCGTCTTCGTGTACTCGTTGCGGATTTGTCGCGAATCTATGATTCTGGGATAAAAGAGAAACAAAGAACTGTAGTAGATGGCATGATTGGTGAGATCCACAAAACTGGAGGCCGCTTCTTGAAACAAAATCCAGGATCGGACTCTGACTGGACCGAAGTGCCACTCGATGAGGTTCGCATAAAGATAACTCAAATGTTCCGAAATCATCGACGGAGGGCAGGTGCTTTGATCCAGGGCGGCTGTCTTATAGCAGATGAACCGCTCCCGAACGATGTGGTGTTTGGAAAGACGCACAGGAGTCGAGGAAGTGATTTGATGCATTATCTCATCAAAACGCGATCCGACGAGTACAATTCTTTGGACCGTGGCATGAAAGTGCAAGTTGTGGATGCCGTTCTCGAGAGGATAAAGGGCGAGGGCGGTCGGTTTCTCCAAACAGCACCCGAACATGGCGGCTGGTTGGAAGTCACGACCGAAATGGCTCGGATAAGAGTATCGAAGTACTTTCGAAACAACCGGCGACAGGCAAAGAGGAATGGTTGATGCATGTTTTCTAGAATGCTACTGTAGTTGAACATAATTCAAGACGAATCGATCATGAATTTGACTCAGAAAAAGACTACAAGCTTGTTCGAATGAGACTCTCCTCTTGTTAGATTCAATTCCAGCTTGAAGGTGCAGGTCGAATGCGACGACAAATTGCATTTCACCTTGCTTTCATTTGTATGACCTATAACAACAGCTGCCCAGTACTCCAGTACTGGTACGAGGTACCCATCGCCAGTTACTCTATCGTATGCTACAGTATTCGCTTTTTGTTTTCAGCCTTTTTTTAAAAAAAAAGCGGAATATTTTCTTGTGCTCAAAGGTGGAGCGCTCCTGATGATTCTTCACCCCACGAGTTCGTACGAACATACCCGTATGGTTTTATGTATGAGATTGAATAGGCCATTATGGAACAGTCCAACTAGTCAAAGGGGACCCTTTTTTGTCGATCTCGAGCATTCACTAATTTAAAATAAACGAATAGCTAGGTATAATACTGGTACGAGTATGTGTCTCATACTCATACAATAATGAGCGTCATAAGTCAACAATACAAGCAAAAGTCAAACTGCCTCGGCATTCGACTTGAAACACCACAAGAATCAAGAAATTCCCTGCTTACCAAGGAAGATGAGCAGAAGGCAAAGGAGAACGACGCAATGCTGGTTGAGGCACTGAATGGACTCACATTTGAAGAACGGCAAGAGCAGCAAGAAATTGTTCATGGTGTGGATGAAATGACTGCAGACGAGTCGACCTTTATTGAGAGTACGCTGAAAGATCTAGATAATATCCTCTTGCGAACGAAACACGGTACTGTGTATGAAACAGCGGAATCACTCAATCCTGAATACGTTGGTGCAAGAGCTTTCCGAATCATGTTTCTCCGTGGAAACCGATATGACGCAAAGGCATCGGCAAAACAGATGCTTAATTTCTTTGAGTGGAAGGAGCAGCTCTTCGGAAGAGAAAAGCTAGTGAAAGATATCACGATGGAAGACCTAGACGAAGACGATCGGGCATGTATGAGAACCGGGTCTATTCAAATACCAGGAAAAGACAGGTCCAACAGAACAATAATATTCCACCTTCCGGGTTTGAGACAATTTAAAACTCTGATAAATGAGTTGCGGGCGCGGTATTATATTTGGATGACGGCATTGAAATCGGAAGAATGCCAGCTTCGGGGGGCAGTTGCTGTCCTATACGGTGTGGGCGATTTCAAAGACAAAAAGGAAGGCGGCGGCTACGTAGAGCATACTCGCTTGGTCTTAGCCCTTCCACTTCATCAAGCAGCGCTTCACGTATTCACCGATAGCTCAGCCGAGTACATTTTGGGAAATGGGGTCATTAGAATGTTGCCAAGAAAAGTTCGTGCCCGCTACATAATACACTTTGGCAGCCACATGGAGAGCCAATACCTCTTCCCCACGTACGGCATACCGTTAAGCATACTTCCATTGAAACCGATGACATTTGAGGCGAATTTGGAGCCCCACCACAAGTGGTACCAATCATGCCTTAGTAACGACAAGATCGATTTCACCGACCTTGTACAGTCCAACAGAACAAGAACCGAGTATAATGACAATGATGTCCTCTATGTTGCTGGCAAGAAGAGCAACAATGCTGGCAACCATCGTCTTCGTGTACTCGTTGCGGATTTGTCGCGAATCTATGATTCTGGGATAAAAGAGAAACAAAGAACTGTAGTAGATGGCATGATTGGTGAGATCCACAAAACTGGAGGCCGCTTCTTGAAACAAAATCCAGGATCGGACTCTGACTGGACCGAAGTGCCACTCGATGAGGTTCGCATAAAGATAACTCAAATGTTCCGAAATCATCGACGGAGGGCAGGTGCTTTGATCCAGGGCGGCTGTCTTATAGCAGATGAACCGCTCCCGAACGATGTGGTGTTTGGAAAGACGCACAGGAGTCGAGGAAGTGATTTGATGCATTATCTCATCAAAACGCGATCCGACGAGTACAATTCTTTGGACCGTGGCATGAAAGTGCAAGTTGTGGATGCCGTTCTCGAGAGGATAAAGGGCGAGGGCGGTCGGTTTCTCCAAACAGCACCCGAACATGGCGGCTGGTTGGAAGTCACGACCGAAATGGCTCGGATAAGAGTATCGAAGTACTTTCGAAACAACCGGCGACAGGCAAAGAGGAATGGGTGATAGATAAATCCTAGAGCACGTTATCTGTAGTTGACCCAAAACTAACTTTAATCATGACTGGGGCCAGGTACTGTAGGTCAAATACATTCAACCTATGCTTATTCTACCAGAATGAGACTTTGTTAGTTTCAATTCCAACGTGGGTGCACGGATCAAACGTTACTGTACCAATACTGGTACAAATCGAATGCGATAGATATTTCCCAGAGCGCTACCTGTTGACCGACAAAAATACCAATAATAATGAATCTGGCAACGACTACAATCAATTTACTCTTTGGATCTCTGGCTTTCAGTCGAAGGAGACTTTGTTAGTTCCAATTATTAAGGTGCAGATGGCAGAGATGCCCAAACGTTAGCGCATCTCGCCTTGTTATACTAGCAAGAAGTATTTAACGTTGTTTCAAAAGTTGACTACTTATCGTACCATACTGTATGTCGTTTCTCATTTCAGTTCATGTTTCAGCTTGAGAGTACTATTTCAGTGTCCAGCCAGTGTGAGTGATCATGAGTTCATCAATGTTCAGAGTGAAGAGTCACAGTGAACAGTCAGTCATCATCAGCCGTCTCGATTGTTGGTTTTCGTTCGTCTGTCCTTCTTTTGAGAGTACTATTCCAGTGTCCAGCGTGAGTGATGAGTTCATCAATGTTCAGAGTGAAGAGTCTCAGTCATCATCAGTCAGTCGTCTCGATTGTTAGTTCGTCTGTCCTTCTTCCTTCGACCAATCCGAATTCCTACCGTACGGCAGAGCGACGTACCAAGACGTACGTATTTTGTGGTTTGGCTATCAGCAATCGCAAGCGAGCAACAACTGAGCTTCCAACTTGCTATATGAGTGTGTAAGAAGGTTGGATAGACTTCTTCGTTTCCCAAAGGCACTTAACGAGAGATAGACAAGAATGATATCATCATCCACCGCTCGCAGAGTGTCACAGGCAGTCCTACGACGTGGGGTTCACACTCGAAGAAAGACCAAGGATGCTGTGAATCTTCCAGGTGCCTTGGCACAAAATTTCCCAACTAAAATGGTGGAACCTGCCGTAGAAACTACTGAAGATCCTAGTGCTTACCAAAAATCTACAGTCACTTCTGCCCATGCTATTGATGTTGAGGCTGGCAAGGTCTCCACTAAGGATTCTGTTGCCATTAGCCCTGATGGAAAGGTGGTTCATGGAAGATACGGAGAATTGGGTGAAGCTGCCGATGGTGTTCCGCTAGAATACCTGGCACTCTTGCGAATGGCAGCCGAGGGTGCCGCTGGACTCCGAAAGATCGAGGAGGGTGGAAAGACTGGAACCATTGTGGTATTTGGAGCTTCCCAAGCTAGTGGACTTGCAGCTGTTCAACTTGCTTCTGCCAACGGACATGCTGTTGTGGGTGTCGTTGGGGCTGAACACTCATGCCACGAAGACATGGTCGAGTATGTGAAGGGAATGATCCCCGAACCTGGAACTGCGGTCGCCGAAGAGTATGCTATTGCCAAGAAGAATTTTGCCGATCTTGTAAACGGAATCGCTTCCGGAGATGAAGGACTTTCGTGCTACGGTGCTGAAGAATGCTTGGATGACTTCAAGGCCAACCTTCTAGAATACGTCGAAGCGTATCCAGAGACTCTTCCTGCCGCTGTTGACCCATCCAAGATGAAGTTCCTGGGCATGGAAAAGGACAAGGATAACTTCCGTACCAACATGGAGGCTTACCTTGCTCAGTTCCCACCAGGTGCCCCACCAATTGCCAAAGATCAGCTTGATGCGAAATTCACCACTGAACAATACGAAGTCTTCCGAAACAAGTTCTGGGAGCAAACGACAAGTGTCGTCTCTGGTGACGAATCGCACTTCTTCTCACCTCCGCACATTGCTGTTGATCTAATGAAGCAGCCCCAAAAGATGGACAAGGCTGTCTATGACACCTCACACCCAGCTGTCCCATACGCCTTCACAACCGTCAAGAACTTTTACGCTCCAGGAACCCAAGAAACTCCAGGAGGACCAATTGCCGGGGCCCTCATTGTGGTCACACCCAACCTGGAGAAGGCTGCCAAGGCCGTGGATGCCGCCAAGACCCTTCGCGAAAAGGGTGAAGCTTTGCAGTTCTTGACTGACGCCGAAAAGAGCGCATTCAGTGCGGCTTGCTCAGTCGCTTCCTCGGCCACAAAGGCCGGTGCTCCCGTATACACTATTGGAGGTAAGCTATATGAATGCAAATGATATTGTTGATTGATTAAAATGCTGTAACAAGAGAAAGGCTGAAACTCACCAAATCGCATTTTTTTTCGTCCCCCCCCTTGTGCATCACCCACCACTTTACTTGCACACAATCACAGGCAAATTACCTGGATTAACAGATGCACCCGCTACGGATGCGGATGTCAAGGAAGCTCTCAATGGAATGGCCATTCAAGACGATGGTTCCACCAAGTTGGACTACTTTGTCCAAGCCTACCGCGCTGGGGATTTCCCCTTTTACGCCGACTATGCCGTCCACCGAGCTACGGAAGTTTTGGCAGGTCCAAGGCAAATTGTTGTGACCAAGTAAATGAAGGAATGAACGAAAGT